AAAAAAAAAACTGTCGAGCCGCGTTGTTGCTCCAGTTTTCCAGAACTAGGACAAGCCGCCATTTTACTGAGAAACAAAGGCAATACGAAACACACCGAATATATCCCGTTCATTCGACACACACGACGAACGATTCATCATACCTTCTTATTAACAGAAGTCTAATACACGCCGTCAATCCAAATCGGCGACTGTTTTTAAGGACAAGCAACAATGAAAAGGTTTTGCCTGGCAGCTATCTAATCTGCCTCAGCTGCCCCTCCTACTCACAAATGACCCTGTGCACGACTCGTAGGTCTGTTTGACTCCCGACTTGTTTTGACTAATGTGCTTCTGCGCCGCTCATAACCACTCACACACACACATCTCCTGTTACACACACACACACACACGCAAAGATAATAATAAGTAAACGCATATAAGCCGCTGTTTGCTGCCGGGGGGAAAGAAAAGTAGGTAAAATGTGATATTTACGCAGTGAAAAGGAGCCTGAACGCATCGCGATATTTACTGCTTTGAGCTGTCTACACAATATTGATGGACTGTATTTCTTTTATTTTTTTAAATATAGTTCCGGCCCTTAGAGCTGATTGGCTGAGTCACATTCAAGGCCGCGGTTAAATATCGGATAACTGCACACCTGTGACCGCATATCAGACTGTTTCTGTATCAATGCGCGGGGATAATGTGGCGCCTGCTTGGTTGAGCTGTTTATCAAGGGCTGTGTGGACAAGGGTGGATCTAGAGGGGATAAAAAAAAAAAAGACTTGTCAGTCTGTTTTGGGTCAAATGCTGTCACATTTTACTAATTACTTCTGATTAATTTTAAATTAAATTAAACATGAATTCAGATTGATTACATGATTATGGACACATTTTAAACTAAGATAGGTTCAAGTTCAGTGAAAAGATGTTTGGAAATTGGAAATGTATTGCTTTCTAATGTCACCTTTTAGATATTTCTTTTAAATGCTTAACTGAGCCATAATAATTTAATGTTTTGAGTTAAAACATCTTCATATGGGGGCTTTTCCAAGCAAATGTTGATATTTGTGATTGTTTGCTTTTAAATCAGGATCTATATCTGCCACCTCATTAATATTTCTCTAGATCCACCACTGTATGTTGATAGAAGAACATTTGAGTTAGCATTTGTGGTCAGTTTCTTTATTTAAAGTGGTGTTTAATCAGTTGTATGAAGCTATAAACAGTGGTGGGATAGTATAGATCATTTACTTGAGTAGAAATAACAGTAACACACGATAAAAGTACTCCCTCACAATTTAAAGTCTTGCTTTCAAAATTTTACTTAAATAAATTACAGAAGTATTATTAATCAAAAATAAATCAAAAAAATAGTCATGCAACAGAATATTATATTATTATTTCATACAATATTGGATTGTTATTACTGATTTGTTAACTTGCAAGCAGCATTGTAATGATGGATTTGTATGTATGCATTGTATTTAAAGTACTTTATACACTGCTGAGTAGTTGAATATATATAGTAATGGATCATATTTTAAACACTTATATATTTTGTAGGAAACTGCAAAGTAACTAAAAGTAAAAAGTAACTAGTTGTGAAATGTAGTGGAGTAAGTGCACTATATTCCTCTGAGTGATGTATAAAGTAAAAATGTTCATTAGCCTCTTAGACTGCAGATAAAGCTTTAAGGTTTAAGCTTTAATTGTGGCAATACTACTTTACAGTAGTCAAAAGTGACATATAAATAATAAATAAAGTCACATTCAATCTCCGTAGAGAGCATCCCTCCAAAATAAAATGACTAAAACAAAACTTTATCAGAACATGTTTCACACTGAATTAGATTTAACTTAATCTAAAATTTCTATCCAGACAGAAAGCGAACTCATGCTTAACATATTCGATGTATTCAACTTTTTTTTAAATGTATTTTGAACAATGTTTGATTGAGAAAAAGCTGACAAGATGTGTTTGTTTGTTCTACAGGTCAAAGAACTTGTGCTAGACAACTGTCGCTCAAATGAAGGCAAGATCGAGGGTCTAACAGACCAATTTGAGGAGCTGGAATTTCTAAGCACAATCAACGTTGGACTGACGACAGTCGCCCACTTGCCCAAGTTAAATAAACTCAAAAAGGTGGGTGTTTTTTTTTTTTCTACACAAAACATGTCTTAAACACTTTTTTTCTAAAGGTTTTGCATATTTTGATTTGTTTTAATTGATCAACAGCTTGAACTCAGCGATAACAGGATCTCAGGAGGGTTGGAAGTTCTGGCAGAGAAATGCCCCAACCTCACACATCTCAACCTCAGTGGCAACAAGATTAAAGACCTTAGCACAATAGAACCATTGGTAAGTGAGACCCTAAAATACTTTGGAAAAAAGAGCAACAACCTAAAAGGCAGCTGGTCGTGTTATTGATCAGACTTGATGTTGTTTCTTTTCGACAGAAAGAATTGGGGACCCTGAAAAGCTTAGATCTGTTTAACTGTGAAGTGACAAACCTGAACGAATACAGAGACAACGTATTCAAGCTACTACCCCAGCTCACGTACCTGGACGGCTACGACAAAGACGACAAAGAGGCACCAGATTCTGACGCTGAGGTTTACGCCGAGGGCCTGGATGATGACGAGGAAGATGAAGATGGTAAGTTCGAGGCTGCTTCGCGTTCTCATGTGGGATAGCCGCGTCCTGTCTACCGTCTGGTTGCTAATGTTGGCATTTGAACATTTCAGAATCAGAATCAGAAATACTTTAATAATCCCAGGGGGGAAATTATTTAAAATTTGGCTAATAATTAACCATCGACCGCTTTAACCCAGACGTAGACGAGGAGGAGTATGATGACGATACAGCGCCCGGAGACGAGGAGGAGGAAGAGGGAGAGGAGGATGAAGAAGAGAATGAAGAAGAGGAAGAGGAGGACCTCAGCGGAGAGGTGGGATGAGAATACATTTGATATTTCATTCAGTAATTGTAAGAAAATGAACCGTCTGAAATAACTTTACTAACTCTGCCTCGTCTTTTTTTAAAAAGGAGGAAGAGGATGAAGATTTGAATGACAAAGAGGTTGACGATGAGGATGATGAGGGTGAGTAACGCAGTGTACACAGTTTACACCTTGAGGCCTAACAAACATGTTGAATCCATTCCCTTCCGCATAACACATTAAAAAAACATTTCACACATAGTTTAACAGACTTTTCGTACGTTACAGAAGAAGAACAGAACGACACCAGAAAGGATTTTCCTAATTTAAAGTAACAAAAGGAAGTTGTATCATGCTCACACACTTGCATGCGTGTCCTCCTGCATGATCCAAAAATCAGGGATCTGTTTGTGGAAACGTTGCTCCACAGCGCTCCTAGTGGTTGAAAAGGTTTTACACTAACATGAAATAATACAATACGTGTAAAACCGCGACATCTACTGCCAATTAAACTTAACAAAGAGACAATCAGAGTGTTCTTCTGAGAATTTTTATTTTTTTTTCCCAGTTCCTGGAGTTGTTTCACCACCATCCGCTGTTAGTTGTCATTTTTTCCAGCTGCAGGAAGCTCCTCCACTTCATGTGCGCATTTTATTGTGGTAGAATACTGTAATTGTTTGTTTCTTGTTTTGAGATGAACAATTTTTGTCAGTTTTACAGTGTGAACACAGTACATACTAAACACCTGCTTACAGTTAGTACGTAGTACAGATTTGGGACTCGGCTGATTCAGAAAATCTTTATTATCCATCACAAATCGATGTAAATTAGTCTCGTCACGTAACAACCGCGTACAGTTTGAGCCAGCGTTGCCGTCGTCAATGACGCAATAAACCTGAAAGAGAGGTTTAACAGGAAACATTTATTTGCTAGATTCTCGTGTTTGTGTGTTGTTTTTTTAACTGTTACTTTTTATTTTCTAGAAGAAGAGCGAGGTCAGAAAAGAAAAAGGGAACTGGATGAAGAAGGAGAGGAAGATGAAGACGATTGAGTCATCTCGAAGCTAAGTTGTGAACTGTTTTAAACTTGTAACTCCCAGTCACTTCCCAACAACCCCATGTATTTTTCCCCCAGTTTCATATTGCAGTAGGAGTGGTTTTTGTTATTGGCCAGTCAGGTAGACGGGGTTGTCTGGAGAAATAAGTTAAATTTATGTACCTTTGATGCTCCCGTGTTCCAGTCTTTACAGTCCACTTTTAACTGCTTCGTGGACACCAATTTTGTAATATCAAATAATAGCAAAGATAAACCTTTTTAAGAAATGTTTTTGTTTTCTCACCGTTTGTGTAAGACCAGTTTCTGATGACTTCTGTATTTTAAGACCCCCCTCCTTCAAAAGAAAAAAACAAAATTAAACAAAAAAAGAGTGCATGTCTAATACATTTTAAAGTCAACTACTGGATTTCATGTATGGCTGTCCTCTCCTCGTCTTATTTTTTTTTTCTTTCATTTTTTTTTTTTTAAATGTAAGTTATGTATTTGTAGTGTCACCAGTATGCCAATACTCTCTGCTGTCCTGGTGTGAAACTTCTGTCTGAACATGCACAGTGTGACCCTCACAGGGCATATTTTTAAATCATAGCAAAAAAATGTCTGCCCTTGTCAAAGCTGCTCCTCCTCCTTAAACCCTCAGCTTTGATAGTTCGGAAATTACGTGTTCTTGTAAATAATGACCAAATCTATTTTTTTGTATTCTCTTTGATGACGGCAGACATTGAACAGACAACTGAGGTGAAACTATGAATTGTAATAAGATATTAAATATGTATGCTGCTTTATCTAAAATACGCAGTGTGAAATTTCTTGAATTTGAACATAACTTTGTATGCATAATCTTTCCATAAAGAGAAATGTTCAACATCAGAACTCATTATCGCTTTTCTCCATGTTCTTTTTCTGTGACACACAGGTGGCAATGTTTGAATTTGTGGTGGTAGTGTATAGAAGTACTTGATATAAATGGAGGTTACAACCGCAACTTATGTGCATTGAAAATGTATTGTTTCAAAGTGTAAACTCTGGAAAACGCTCAGTTATTTTGGACTTTCACGATTATACGTAATGGTCAAATTGGCCTACCTCAGTGATTTTTCACTCTGTTAAATCCACTGTCATCAGCCAAATTGTTTCTTTTTCCCTCCCATTCACTTCAATAAATCCCTTTTATATATGTTTTGATTTGTTGTGGTCCTTGTACGACATTTTCAAGTCCAATGGTAAAGTGCTGAGTTCCAGTTATAGGTCATCAGCTATAGATGGCTTCACTGATGCAAGATTGAAATGTGATAAAAGACCAAACTAAGCCAAAAAGGTTATAAAGTTCAAGTTCAGTGCCAAACGAATTCAAGGGAACTGCCATAGGTAAGGCTTGGTAGTTTGTCATTATAGAAGCATAAAGGCCTTTCTGACAGTTAAGTGGTTGATTTTAGTAACATAACAGTAACATAGCATTACTCCAGCTGAAACTTCACCTTCCTCCACAGTAGCTCATCTGTCTCTGGTAAATCCTTTTACCACTGTCTACTTTCACTGTAGCCTTTTAGAAACATACACATTTACCATTAACGTGATCAGTGGCTCAAGTCTACCTTTAAAAGGGTTCATATGTTTTGTTTGTTTCGACTGAAACTATAAAGCTTTGGACCCTTTATGTCCCTGGTATGATGTGATCAGGGAAGACTTATGACCTTTAGCCTTAACTTACTTTTTACTTAACTCGGGGTACAAATTTCATTCTTGCTATGCGTGCAGCCTATTCATCTTTTTCCTTTTCATAGTCCACCAAGAGCGCAATCGCTAATAAGACGAGGATAAATGTGATTGGGCCTGGATTAAGGAACACATGGCATGTTTAGCAGAATCTTTTAGGTAACTACTTGAACATGTTAATCTAGTGCCCACTTCTCTTAGATTTCAGACGGCAGACTATTACATAGTTAAACAGAAACATTTAAACTGCAATTTAGCCTAAGTCTGTTGATGGTACAAGTGGAGAAGGAGAGTTAGATAACCTGAAGTCTCCAGAGCAAAATCACACATCTACAGGTAAACACATCTCAGTAATAGTGATATACTTAGTTTAAATGTAAAAGGATGGTTATTACAGTTTATCTGCACTGCTAGGAATAGGCAAGAATACATTTTTTATAACTCATCTGAAGTTATGTTGTTGGAGTTGAACTAATACCATTTAAGGTACAGTTTCAACAAATCTTGCACCGTTCCAACCAGAAACAATCAGCAAAATCTATCAAGCTTCACAATCATTACTTGCGCAACCACATCATACAAAACCAATGGGATTAACAAATTTACATGTTATTTGCTAAAAAGGTAAAATGTGACAAATAAATAGAAGCATATATATACATTAACCCTCATCCTCAAAATTAGCCCTAAAAACCAATAACAGCCAGCAAAGCTTCCCTTCAGATTATAGTCAAGTAGTCCTGGATCCTTGTCTCCCCTGCTGCTTTCCCACTATTTAAATAAAGATATAGAGAGAATACCTTAAGTGAGTGAACTATTCACTTTCCTTGGGAAGAAAGACTGCATTTGTGTAGCTATATGTCAGTATTGTGAAGTAAATTTACAGCCAACATTCATAGGTGAGAAAAGACGCTACGGGAAAGCAGCTCTGTGGAAAACACGATCCATGTCTGCAAAAGCTCGTCTCGTCTGTCAGTTGCAAAACCACTTCACGTCAGCCATTTTGAGAGGATGCTGCAGCTCGCTGCAATCTGTGTCTGCAGCAGCGTCTAAGGCCTTGGGGAAGAAAAATAGGAGCCAGTGACAGTCTTTTTTATCCTCCAGTTTTGCCTCAGCAAAAAATGAGAACTAGATGATGGTTTGGTCATTACAGGAGGATGACTGAAGGGGCTCCTTTGCATGGTGATCAATGTATTGCCACGTGAACGATGACGGTAGGCATAGAGAGACAAACACACAGGAAGTCTGGCAGAAAATATGCAATAATTGATCATAACACTTGCAAGTGTGCCAGATCAAGAATATTAAGCTGTAAAAACAGAGATAATACCTCAAATGATTGAATCTGAAACCTTCCCTCCCATGTCAAGGTGAAAATCTATGAACACTGCCTCGCCTCTGTTACTTATCATATTTGTCATTATTACAATATTCCAGTAATTGCACCAGTTAAGACATTATCCAACAGTTATCATATTATTGTGTGCACTATGCAGGGCAGCAGGATTGAAGTTATGATTTAGAGTGATATATCAAAAAAGAGGGGGCGGGAGGGCTCAGAAGCTTGTCGGAGGTCAGAAGTGGGGGCAAAGGAAGCAGCTTTGCCAGTCCAGGAGGCTGAGAGGTCAGACGTTGTTGGGGCTAACGTTCTTCAGGTTGTTGAGCTCCAGCTCCAGCTGGCGTATTCGCACGTCCTTGGTGGTCAGCTCCTCCTTCAGCCGCCGCAACTCATCCTGCTGCCGGAAGAACATCCGCAGGAGCTATGGAAAGAAAAGCAAAAACTTGAGCATGTAAAAAACACAGTTTAACATGCAAGTATGTAAAACTAATGTTAGACAGAGGACATCTGGAGAATGTAATGGAAAAACTTAATTAGTAGAAATTATTCTGCATTGTTTAAAACCTTATTCAACTATTCGAAAACACTATCACACCCCAAGATCCATTTAGTTATATATTATGTAATATAGTGAATTTCCCCAGTGTGGGATCAATAAAGTCTATCTTAAGTTACACTGATGTTTATATTTAATACATATATTTATAACATATTTGTGATCAATAAAAAGCTTTAAAACAGCTACAAAATGGAGCTCGAGGTGACGCTTGAAGACAGACAGTAAACTGGGGAGAAAGAGAGAGAGAGGATGTGATAGCAGCACTTATCACACTTATGTTCAATTAGTCTGTTACTTTATCCATTGCTCCACCCAATCAACTGACTACATCAACCCAGTTTACCAATCTGTAAAAGCTCCTCTTTGTTTGGGTCCATATAAAAAACAGTCCCAGAAACATACTGTGTATAATATGCAGTACAATCACCCTTACCAACAAACACTTCAAACAAACACAAAAACAAACACCACTCCTATCAGTACCTCAACTCCATCATTCAATTTACAACTTGTTGTTTGCTCCATTAGTTGTAATGCTCTGACTCCATAAAAGCCCTTGAAACTCTAGTTTTATTAGATACTTTTATAATCGAGGAGCAGCAGAGTAGAGAAAAGGCAGCATCAGTTCTTCACGTACCTCGTTCTCTGTCCTGGGCGGTACGTTCTCCAGCAGGTCGATCCCATTCACCACCACACTCTTCTTCTCCTTCACTGGGGCCTTGAATACTAACTGGTTTGGTCGGTGGTAACCGTCCTTCAGGGACATCAAGACTGGGTCTGTTTGCACAAAAGAGCAAAAACACTCCTGAAAACCAACACAAAGCACTTTAGCTTCTTCCCCAGAGTTTCTGTGTTTTCTTGTTTTGCAGGTTGCCATGGATTTTTGGTTGCGCCTGCTGCCATATTCCTGCTTGACGCCCACTGCTAATGTTATTGTTATTATCATTATCATCATTATTATTGCTGTTATCTTTCTCTTCATCAGTTCGCTACCTAGAGCCGGGGTCTGCTCAAGGTTTCTGCCTGGTAAAAGTAAGCTTTTCTTAGCCACTGTGCTTGCTCATGGTGGGAATTCTTGGATCTCTGTAAATAATGTTATAAGGAGTTCGGTCTAGACCTGCTCTATTTGAAAAGTTGTCCTGAGATAACTTCTGTTATGG